ATTAAGTTACTTGTACCCTGAAATTGTATCCCAAATTATATACTACATGTATGCATCTTCATTTTGTATCAGCATGATGTTAGAGTGATGGTTCACACAGATAAAAATGATATTGTAAAATTTTTTTATCGCAATAAGATACTAATACTTTTATTATCTTTTCATAGTAAAAAATATATTTTAATGACCATCAATAAGTAACTAATTGCTCACTAATTCTGTGCCAATGTACAATATTCGTTCTCGTATTTATGGTTGTGGGATATGTTAGAGATAAGAATGGAGGAAGAACGTTGCGGAGCAGCATTAACAAAGAATGAGAAGAACAACTTGATAGAGTATAACGAATCATGTATAACGCTTTCAGATCAAAGTTATTTCGGGGTATACGAAATACTTTAATCGAATAAGACGTGAATCAAGAACAAGCACTGAAAATCAGATCAATCAACCATACTTACGAGACTCTATTTATCGAGTCAAAATTAAAATTGAAGTTTGCTTAAAGAGACAAACATTCAATTCGCGCAAAGGATTCTTGCGAATTTTGGGTTAATTTGGTGTTTATCCACACGTCTAAACCTTTTAACGTTTTGGACTCCCTTCACGAAAAACTGAAGGATTTTCATAAAGAAATAACGTCCAAAATAAAAAAAATCCAAGGGACTCTGCCCCTTGGACCCCGCTACCCGGGGGCTGCCGCCCTCGGACTCCCTCTATGAATTTGTAATATCGTTGAACGAGTGCGTACTCCGTGTCTCCTAACTCGTTAGACAATGTCTATTATAATTTCTGTCTGATCTAAGTAAATCCAATTATACAAAATAGCCGATGGCACTAAAATTACCAACATGATATACTTCATAATTCTTGCATTGGTCTCTAAATCATCTCTGTCTCCACTAGAACATTTTACGATATCCCGTAAGTAATCATTGTGAAGAAAATCATACTCCCGAGTATATTTCCACCTTTTTATCATTCTCTTTATATTTTCATAAATTTTCAATCACAAAAAATTGTATGTCTAATTTCTCGATCGATTGTGATACATTTTCGTATTTTTTTTATGTTTCAGAATTTATCAAATATGAGTGTGTAATTAATAAAAATTTTAGTCCTAATTATACCAAATATGTTGCAAGTTTGTACAAAAGAAAATAGGGAGTATATGTTGCAAGTGGTAAGTGATAGCTAATGTGATACAGAATTAGTGGAGTTTATGTCTCTAAAAGACTAAAACTTTAGAGAATTAGGCACAATCTAATTAAGGTATGGAAAGAAAAACATCACATGCCTAAAATATACTCGTATTTGAAATTTACCAAAAGTAGAAAATTCCCACACTTTACTATTTTCAACATGGGAAAAAAGATTTACTTCCTTCATCTTATAAAATTCTTCCTGTTTGAAAAAAAAACATACATTTAAAATGAATTATTTTCGTGTTATTTTCTAATTATGTCTCATCTATTCTACACATCTCATCTTACTCTATTATAAAACATGGATAAAATTAGAAAATAATGCTAAAATTATTCATTTTAAAGTATACATTTTTTAAAGAGGAAGGATTATATGGGAGGGAGGCAGTTATATATACTAGCTTATCTTTATTTCGGATGACCTAAGCCTCCAAGATCCCACCAAAGCTGCCTAGTGGTGGATCCCTCCACCTACAAGGTAGGGAGTAAAATAAAATATTTCTTTTGTTTTTATTTTGATTATAAAATGTAAATTACGATGTAAAATTTTAGAATTTTTCAAATTATTTTATTTACAAATTGATACATCAATAAAAAATAAAAAATTATATATTAAAAAACTATATCTAAAGTTTTACAAAATAAGAGGTGACAAGAATATTTTACTTTATCACATAATCAATGAAAACACGCAAATAAATACTCCCTCCGTTTGGAAAAACCCTTCCCATTTGATTTGGGGGCAAAAATAAGGAAGTGTTAAATTATAGTTGATTTTCAATTTTGCCCCTGATGTGATGGGTAAAAGTAAGATGTGATGGATAGATTATTAGAGAAAAAGTATGATGTGATAGGTAGGGTATGAAAAAGTAAGGGTAAAAGTGGTTTTTTAATAGAAAGGGGAAGTGTTTTGTTGGAAGTGGAAAAAATGAAAGAGGAAGTGTTTTTGAGAATGGAAGGAGTAAAATTTAGCGAGAAGAGAGAAAAATAAAATTGTAATCAAAATGGGGACGAAGGAAGTACTTGATTAATTTATACTCATCCGATCTTGCGGTAATCTTTTTCTGATTTTGCACTTTGGTTGTAATTTGTATAGAGAAAAGAAAAACACAATTAGGACGACACAACTTTAACTTTAGAGTGTTCTTTAGTGCACCTTGGGTTTATATCAGTTTTGTGGGCCTCTCACATAATTTTTTTAAATTTAAAAAATAAGCAGTAATTAAGGAAATACTTATTTTGCCATAGAATTTGTCTTACCCTTTAAGGGAAGGTAAATTTTTTTTGAGATAACCTCAATAGAATTTTCTTCCCAGACACTAATTACATTGCCAAACTTTAATCATTTTTTTATTTATTTTCGTTAGATATTTGATAAAATGATATAGTCATGATACCTCTTATTTTGTAGAACTTTTAATGTAGTTTTTAAATATATGATTTTTAAGTTTAACTTTTACACCTATAATCAAATAAATTAAGTTGAAAATAATTTCAGTCAAATCTCGTAGACTAAACTCGGAAGACAAGTTTTAGGACGGAAGTAGTAATTTTTTATATAAAAATTGGAACAAAAATAAAAAAAAACTATATATAAAATATTTAAAAACTTAGCCAAAAATTCTAGAAACAAAGACACGCATCAAATAATAATTGAAAACATTTAATAAAAGAGAAAAGAATTTGAGGGCATGAATAATAATACACCATTCGTCCATATAACATTTCCTCAAAAGAATTTGAGGGCATGAAAATAATAATACACCATTCGTCCATAATAATTTCAAGGCATGAATATTAATTTGAGCAAAAAAATCAAACTGTTACAGTTTTTTAGAGGCGGAAGGAATATATTGTTATTATTCTTCTCAAATCTATTAGTCTTTCATATTCCAATGAAGTTTAAATTCTTGAAAAGGTAATAAGGGCTAATTTGGAATATTATGTTAAAATGCCTTTTTATCTTGTACCCCAAGCTCCATCTCTAGAGAGAAAAGTCTTTATGGGTCCCACCTCATTTTTTTAGAAATACCTTAAATAGGACTAAAACATAGAGAAAAGTACCAAAATAGGACTTTCATGTTTTTTTCCCCAAAATAGGACTTTGCACTGTGGTAATGTGACTTTACAGTGTGGTAATGTGGAAGTGTACATGTGCACATTACTATACTTTTTTGGTAATGTATATGACTATGTTTGGTAATGTAAGTCCTATTTTGGGAATAAAAACAAAGAAGTCATATTTTGGTATATTTTCAATGTTTTTAGTCCTACTTTGGTCTTTCTCCCAGGGAGAAAGACCAAAGTAGGACTAAAATATTGAAGATATACCAAAATAGAACTTCCATGTTTTTATTCCCGAAATAGGACTTACATTACCATACATGGTCATATACATTACCAAAAACGTATAGTAATTTGTACATATACACTGCCACATTACCACAGGGCAAAGTCACATTACCACAGTGCAAAGTCCTATTTCGGGAAAAAAAACATGAAAGTCCTATTTTGGTACTTTTATCTATGTTTTAGTCCTATTTAAGGTGATTTCTAATGTTTTTACTTCTCAATATAGGACCATTGGTCATTATCTATTAGTCATTATTCAACTAAATGTCCAGCATCACTTGGACATTATTCTTCTCACTAGTCATTATTAAGTCCTATTTAGAGAATAAAAAAGTTTAAGTCCTACATTGGAAAATGACTTAAGTTTTTGTCTTATTCAGTGCAAATTTCTCTTAAATTAAACTACAATTTCAATCTAATCAAGAGAGTCAGATTTGTTATTAATACATGCAAAAACCCTACGTTTAACATGGTGATTAATTTGACATCTTGGCCCAGAACGCCAAGAACGGGCAATATCATACTAATACGGGGTTGGGGTGAGGGCACGTGCAGTCCCAACATGTGGTATCGGAGCTCATGTTCGGAGGGCTGAGTAAGCAGACCTACGCGTGCGGAGTTCTCGGAGCGACTTCGGCCAACATGGAGAAGGACCTACGAGATCCACATAAGGTCTGGGTGTTTTGCAGCAGTGTTTGGTGGAACGATGTGCCAACAGGAGCAGGCAAATGGTGCCATATGTTGTGAGAAGTTCACAGGGAGGATAGTGCGCCAACTGAAGACGACTGAGAGATGTGTGAATGGTGATCTCCAGGCTAGCGGGGTAAAAGGTATGCAGGAATGCCTTCTGTTAAAACTCTTCCCGACATATACAGGTGGTTGGGCGGCGTGTCCTGTGGGTTGTTAGGACGGTACAAGAAGATGGCAGATCAGAAATGGATAATCGTTGGAGGGGAGGTCACATGATTTTGTAGTCTGGGTTTGAGGGGATGTTTGTTGGGTATCAATCCCCTCCTACACTGTATGGAAAAGAGAAAGGAAACCAATATTTATATGGTTGCTCCAATCCTATTAGTACGAGGCCTTTAGAGAAGTGTCAAAAAACTGATCCGTAAGGACTTGACGCTTGACCTAGAGCGGACAATATCATACTAATGCGGGGTTGGAGTTGGCGCACGGGCAGTCCCAACAGGCATGACCCTCTCCACAACCTTGAAAGATTTCCCTTTTAATGAAGGCGCTGGTGGATGTTGCACAATTAACAAGACAAAGAGTGAGATAATTCTCAAGTTTAATTTGATTTCCCGCAACTGTGTTGCGAGACAATGTGTCTTGGGTGCGTCTTTGTTTGTTTGACGTACAAATGAAGTTGGGATTCCTTCTTTTTTTTTTCATATGATTATTAGTATGTACTCTTATGATTGTGTACTTGCCAAAGCTAAGCCTGCAGCAGCAGTGTAGGTAGGTTATTTGTACGGCGGCCATTCTCTCCCACTATTTCTGCTCTGTTGTTCCAATTCTCCGGCCTCCCTATAAATATCTCCTACCCCATCCATTGTCTTCTCCACTCTGACAAATTATATATATCATTGTATCATCATTATAATATAACATAACATAAAATGGTCAAATCCAACAAGTTCAGAGGTGTCAGGCAACGCCACTGGGGCTCTTGGGTCTCCGAGATTCGCCACCCCCTCCTGTATATAACCCCCCCCCACCCTTCCTATATCTAGTGTCCTTAACAAGACTTTCATTTATACATATATATCTTCATATTTAATTAACCAAAGTTTGTCCTTCATTCTCTTGTCATGTGTTAGGAAGAGGAGAGTTTGGTTGGGCACATTTGAGACGGCGGAGGAGGCCGCCAGAGCGTACGACGAGGCGGCCGTTCTCATGAACGGCCGCAACGCCAAGACCAACTTCCCCGTGGCGGCGGACCACAGCGGCGGCGGTGGCAGTGGTAAGGATAATAACAACAACATTTCTAGTTTGGTCTCTTCTTCTTCTTCTTCGTCGTCGCTGGCGGCAATCCTGAGCGCGAAGCTCAGGAAGTGCTGCAAGTCGCCGTCGCTGACTTGCCTCAGGCTCGACATCGAGAACTCGAACATCGGAGTCTGGCAGAAGCGCGCCGGCGCGTCCTCTGCCAACTCCAGCTGGGTAATGACTGTGGAGCTCGGGAAGAAGGCCGCCGACCGCGCCCCGCTGCCGGAGCAAGAAACTCCGGTGGAGGTGACTGGCGGCGCCGCCGGGGACCAGATGGCGGTGATTAGCGAAGAGGAGAGAATGGCATTGCAAATGATCGAAGAGCTCCTAAATTCAAATTGATACTATACTATACATACATACAATAATCCCGTTGACCACATATATATAGTAATAAAGGTCAAATTATTTTATTAAAAGTTCACATTATTAATCTCAGAAGATAGCAATTTTACGTAATTATTCTCCCATTCAAAAAGTGACATTGTTGCTCCCAGAATATCAGTGTCATTTATTGGATAAAGGAGTATTTATGTAAAATCACATAATTAATTTTGAGAGTAATGATGTGAATTTTTCATTATTTTAATTTAAAATTAGAAAGAATAATTATACGAAGTAGGAGTATATATATTGGAAAAAAGGTTATATATATATATATATAGCCTCTTATAGACATTTGTTTAATTTGTATAATTATTGTTATTATTAGATCCTACAAAAAATAAAAAATTGTACTTAATATATTCTTTTAGAGACCAAATATTGTACTTTTATATGTTTTCATTCTTTATTTAAGGTTTTTATAATATGTACAAAATATTTTTTTTGGTATTTTGTCTCATGTATTGGAAGAATTTGTCGTTAGAGGGAGGGAAAGGTACAAGTATAGGTTGTAAAACAGTTGTCAATTATTCGAGTTTGGAGCTCAAATTTATTGCTTGATGTATATGTATATGTCACCTCATGTATAATTTATACACTACGTACGGAGTATAATAAATAAATATATAGTGCTACCTCGACTAGTTGCATGCATATCTTCGATTTGGACTTGGCATAATCTTAATGGTGACGTGTGTCTATAGCTAATTTATTAACAAATATTTACACTAAATAACACTAAAATTTAAGTGATTTTTTTAAATAGTAATTAAATTGTTTTATTTCCTAAATAACACATAATAATGTCCACAAGGAGAAATAATATATGTCCAGTGATGACGAATGTTTACTTGAATAATGACTAATGGATAATGATTAAAAGTGTTACATTGGAAAAAAAATTTAAGTAAATTTTCCATTTATTAATTAGTGTGTTTGCTCCACCTTAAATACTCCTTAATCCTTTTCAACTATCTAAACTAGATGGAATTAATGTAAAAATAGTAGAGTAATCATCACAAAAGGATGGTTGGGGAGAATGTGTATGTGTATGCACACCTCAGTCTTACTTGAAACTAGAGACACTCTTTTTTAGAATAGATCTTTGGCTCAAACACTGCGAGTAATAACATACACAGCCTGACCTCGCTCTATGTTTAAAGTTGTGAGAAAATAATACGGAGTATAATATTAGTATTAATTATGGTTTTGTTTGATTGTTATTCAGCTTTCTATTTCTATTTGTGATAAGAATGTTTTTCTATATATATACTCTCTTGTGTTCTTCATTATTCTCAATAAAGCATAGAATGAACGTTTTCACATAAGCCATGATCAGCGTCAAAAGTTGCATTGACTAACTGTTACTTTTGTAGGGAGTATTAGATGAAGATCGAAGAAACGGTTTAAATAGTCATTTTTATTTAAAAATAGTGAATCTTTGACTACACCAAGCATACAAATTTATGCAAATTGAAAATGTTGTTGACTTCCCTTAAGTATTCTATTGTTCCTTTCTTCTCCATTTGTTTCACACATCTCCTTCAACGCTACTACCACTAAAATTAGGCTTTTCCACACTTAAATTTAGCTCGGGGAAGAAAAAATGGATGGCAAACATTGATAGATATATGCCCCCAAAAAACTATTTTTGGTGGCCACTCCATTAGCTTGAGATCCAAGGATCCATTCCTCCAACTTTGTGTGTTTCTTCCCGTAAAACTTTTGAATTTGAGATATGTGCATAATGTTTGCTTAGAGGAATCCATGCATGTTAGACAACTTCTTCATTCTGCATTCCTAAGGTCCATGTTTGTTTTATTAATAATCTTAGTGCATTGATATCGTAAAAAAATGAGCATTTGGCAAAAAATAAAATTTCATTTCCTAGCCCCCGCATGAAAAAGTGTGAGGAGATTCACATTTTACATCCAGATCTTAAAATCGACCACAGAAGAACAAGTCTATAGATTATGCCTCAAGAGGAGAAGATTCGGGAAATCGTTTGCAAATAAGTAAAGAAGAAGATACAAATCACTCTATGTAGCACTCTAAAACACCCAATATTATACATATAACACTTCTTATGGTTTTCCACACATTTGGCTATTTATGGGGTGTATCTCTTCCAATCATACCATTTTATTGTAATGTAATACTTTAATTATGTCATTTACCATATTTATTGAGATCCATAATTTTAAAAGTTATTTTCATTCCTTGTACATAGCATTTAGAACCTCTGTGCTACTCCTCATTGATTAAACAAATTTAATATACGAAACTGGAGGTGTATACCAACTTTTTTGGCGGTGTGGAATGGTCATGTTATGCCTACACTTTCTGATGTGTTATGCCCATGTTCTAGAAATGTATACCAACTTAAATACTTTTTTGACAGTGTGAAATGATCATGCTTTGGTAGTGTGGATAGATGTTATATTGGCCATGATGGCAGTGTGTTATGCCCCATGTTCTGGAAGTATATATACCAACTTGATCACATTTTTTCGGAGTGCGGAATGCAATGACAAATTTCGAACTGCATCCACACGAGTTCCAATATCATATAGCAGTGTTATATTCGGTATTTTGAGCATATATTAGTGCTATGACGGTAATTATTCATTAGGAAGAAAGTGAAAAGAAAATTAATTGATAATCAAAGGTAATTAATGCGTTTTTTGCCTCATTTACTCCCAAACTCTTCACAAATTAAACAGATTCCTCTTGAACTTAACAAATTGTACCAATGGTCCCTGAACTTTTAAAAACATAGCATCAATGGTTCCTGTGCATCGGTTTGGAAGTGCATTAATCATACGTGAGTTATGCTTTTCCAAATACTAGTATTTTTACATGTGCAACGCACAGGGTCGAACAAAATTTTTATAGGTTCTAAAACTTTTTTAATGTAATATTTTTTCCCAGAATAAAGAAAATATATTTCCCTATGATTTTTAATACTATATACAAAAATTCAAAAGTAGAATAAAGAATATTTGAGGAATTGAATGTGTACTCAACCAAGTTTTTTTTAATACCAAACTTTTTGAAAGACTGTAGGGTATATAATTTTTTTGATATAGTTGCAAGGGTATCATTGTCATCTAAAACCAATATTTTTAATTGTGTTTTTGTCTTCACTCATGGAACCATAACATAAAGCTGACCATGAGTGAATACCAATTTGGTTAAAAGTACTGCAAGAAATGATAATGTTTGACTTTGACTTTTGTTGATAGTCATTGCAAAATATAAGAGTATTGAGATTTGCCTTATAACTTTAAGAGTAGTCCTAGATCAGATAATATCAATTTCATTTGAAGTATGTAAACTTTTTGCTGACTCGATTTCTCAAAACCACAATAGACCAATAATATTCTTTCACAGCTCTTCAAGGATTAATCGTGTACCATTACATAATCCATATATTTGGCCAATGTTTCTCAATATCAAAATCGTTAACCCATTTTTAAGATTATTTTGTAGTTTTGGATCCTTGAACATTTGATTTCATTTAAAATTTAATTGTTATTTAATTGTCATCAATAGTTACAGCTGAATCGGTCTGACATGAATAATCAAAACTTAGGCACACCATTTCATATTAGGAAATGAGAGATATGACAAATTCATTTACCATTTCTACAACCTCAAACATGGTCGAGTAGTGCCCTATCCTAAAAAATGAATAAATTTTCATACTTTCCAATAGGTTCAATTAGGATAAGTGAAGTCCAATATACTATTTACAAAATAACTTGTGTCTAGAATTAAAAATTTATGCGGAATTTTAAGGTCAGTTGTTTCATGAATCACTTGTCTAAGTTTTTCATCTCTAACTTTAATTATCTAATCAGAAAAAATTTGTGTGTCCCTATCTGGGATAGAGGACGTAGAAGAATGTAATATCATATTCTTCGCTAACATATAAATTTTAAAATACGACCATAATTTTAAAGAATAGATGATAGCACTCACAATTTTCTCTCTTGAAGTTTTGGGTAAAACAGAAAGAGTTTGTCAAAAGTCACCTCTGAGTACAACTATTTTCCCTTCAAGTCCTACTTTTTTTCCTCTGAATTCAACTATTTTCCCTCCAAACGGTTCATTTCTAGAGTTTTTATTAGAGAAATTCATTACATTTCTCATTTTGTGATCGAGCACCTTAAAAATAAATCTATTCATCATAAATGCTCCATCCCATATTATTAGACTTACTTGTTGGATTAGTTCAGCTTTCAGACTCTCTTGACAGGTTATGCAATCGTCTAAAGAGATTGAGAATCTCAAGTGTAATGTCATTCATCCATGTCCTTCCCCCATGAAAAAATAATGCTGCAATACCACTGGATGTGACATTCAAGACAATCTTATCATTTGACATTAGAGAAATAAACATAGATTTCCATTAAAAAAATATTTTTTCAGTTCCACTGTAACCATATATAAAAAAGAAACCTCCTCTTTCAAGTGTCACAACTCCCATTATCTCATCGTATATATTGTGCTGATATTCATCGTAGATAAGTATCTCATAAGATCATATGCAAACTTTTATTTTTCACTTTTATAATGCAAAATCATTAAAGCCCTTGATAGTAATCTCGTCAATATACAAAATGTTTTATCAAAATATAAATAATTATAAATTTAAAATTATATTTTTCTTTGATGTGGTTGTAACTTGTAAATTAGTCTCGATCTTATTAGTCTCTATTCGGATTTAATATTTTCATTTGACTTTTTTGGGTCAAATTTTGTATACTTTAACCTTGTTATATAGAAAAAGAAATCTCTTCATGTTTATTAGCTAAATAATAAATTTTGGAGTTCCGATCTACAAAATTGGAAATCTGTTCTCGTAAGCTCCGCAAAGAATATGGAAAATAATATAATTCACCAAAAAATAATGCTATCACTTTCCTCTTTAAATAGATTACCAATGATGCTCTCCCTTAAACTTATCAAATGAAGTGTGAGTACATCATCAATTACACAATAGTTTTCACAATTTCACTTATCTACACTATAGAAGAAAAAAAGAAAGGTATGCAAAGAGGTTCCCAAGAAGTTGAAGGAAAGATGATGATTTTGTAAAATAAAAAAGATATATAAGGTAATATAAGTGTAGAAGGAAACTTTTGGTAGTTACTACTCTATATATATTACTCTGTATATATTTCCTAAACAAAACTAAAAAAATCACTCAAATAGAAGTAAGACATAAATCTTATGCCCAGAATAAAAGTTTAATCTTTTTATTTCCT